ATAAATGTATTATTTATTAAATAAAATTTTTATTAATAATATCAATTTCTTTTTAAGTAACATCTTTTCTAACTTTTTGCATTTAATATATTTTAACATTTTGCACTGTCAATTTATAAACAGAAAACTATCTACATTTTTAATATTATATTGTGTTTGAAAATTGTTAAAAATTTTTTAAAATTTAAATTCCACTTCAGGCCTAGCATCTGATTCAACATTAATTATAAAAAAAATTCTATGAGCTTTTAATTCTATGGACTCATTTTGGAGCCCCGAAGGTTGATGCCCAAGGCATGTACCCCCTCACCCCCTTAGTTTTGCCTCTGATAAAAGGTACTGAAAAAAAATTTAATAAATATTCAGCATTTGCCCACAAAATAAAGTTAATGTACAGAATATTTAATTACTTATGCCTACAGGACTTTTTTTACACCATGTACTGTACACTATATAAAGTCTAGAAACATTAAAAATTAACAACAGCACAAACAAAATAACACCTGTTTTGGTAACTATGCTTTGATTTGATTTGGCAAAGCTACTAGGCGCTAGTATTAACTGAAGAAGATACAATACAATGCATCAACATAATAAATGCTTTAAATAAATATTTTTAATTAAAATAATTAAGTTTAATAAAATTCTAAAATATTTATACATACAAAAATGATATTCCAAAGACATCATCATCATCATCAGATAAATCCTGGTCTTCTTGAATAAGAGAATCATGCTTATATGATCTACTCCATTCAACTGAACTTTCAGGCTGGCAATAAAATTTTTTATATAATAAATTATAATCACAAACTTTCATTTGTAAAAATTATATAAATGAATAATAATTGAAGATATTTAAATTAAAATAAAGATATTATATACAGTTGAACTTATCGATCTCAAAACTCACAGGAATGAAGAAAAAAATCTAGACAGGTTGATATATAGAAGTTCCTATACAGTAAACAGTAATAGATTTAATTGGAATTATGGTATTTTATTAATACAACAGCAAGTACAGTACATGCCAGTATTAAGTATAAATAAAACATTTTTGACATACCTTAACAGAAACAGTTTGTCAATAGTTTGATACCTGACTTTCTTCAATCAATAAGATGCAAGCCAAACTCAGCCAATAAGAGAAAAGCAGCATTAATTGTAATTATGTACTGTATTGCAAGAGATGTTTCTCAACTGCAATTTATGCATCAAAATGTACTTGCTGAGCTTTGAATTTGTAATTGATGCTTCAGTTCACAATTTGAGATGTAAAAGTTTTTAGAATATATTATTTGAGATAAACATGGAAAATATATTGAAATTAGGCTGAAAATGCAGAGGGAAACAATAATTTTGAGATAGAGGTTTTCAAGATAAACATGTTTGAGATATAGGTTCAACTGTATTAAAAAAAAATCATGTTAAATTTTATATATTCTTTCAATGAAAGTTTTAATGTTTTTAATACAGAATGTACTGTAATAAAAATTTTATTTTAAGTTTAGAAATTATATTAATAAATTATCATAAACAAAGTTCTATAATATGAGATAACTGTGTTGATAGCTATAATTATTTAATATTTTCACCTAATCAGCTATTTTATTTTTTCAATAAAAAATTTGTATCTGCTTAGCCTATACAATATAATAATAATAATAATTTAAAATTCATATATATCTTAATATTTATAATGGATCTTTTTATTGGAATAGAATTTCTGATAATATACATAATTTGATTTCAGATCAGTAAACTGATTTTTCTGTTAACATTTAAACTGGTCTTATAGAGCAGAACAAAAATTTTTAGGATTCATAAAATTAACACAGTATATCAGTGATTCTCAAACAGAAAATTAAATTATAAACATTTAATATATTTTTTAATTAATAGAAAAGATTAACTCCATCATAAATGATCCAAAGCCTGGCTTAGAAAGGATAAGAGTTAATCAGCTATAAAAGTCTAGCCAGTTTGTTACGCCAAGCCTGAAGTGGTAGTAAATGCTAGTGTCTCCCCTGTAGGTGACAGATACCAGTGTCACCCAGGTTGTATGAGAAATGAGTTACAGATACACTGAACAATGAACCTGCAGGATTAAAGAAACAAACTCATAATGGAAAATTGTATTATTGGGAGAAAGTGAGATTAGCTACTTTAGATTAGGAACATTACATGGAAAATATAAGGAATTAGCTCAGGTATTGAAAGATAAGAGTTAACATAGCATGAATAGCAGAAACTAGACAGACAATAAATCAAGGAATATAGGAGGAGGATCTGTTAATATATGCAGGAGGAGATATTAGAGGAAGAAATGGAGATGTGGTATCAGACAGGAAATTTAGAGATAATATAGTAACAGTAAATAACATTAATGACAGGATAATTCATATTAAGGTACAATGGGGGAGTACCATTCAGTAATGCAAGTGACTATACATGACAGCTTAATTTTGTAATTTAGTTATAAGGAACAAGGAAGCAGGTTTTGGAGGTAAGAATGGAGAGGGAGAAATGGCATTACATTCAACTTAGCAAGTAACTTAGCAATTGCAAATATGTATTTAAAAAAAAAAAACACTTGATAGCGTATAAAAATACTGTAGACTAGCAGTCGCCAACTGGTGGTCCGTGGACCACTGATGGTGTACAAAAAAATTTTGGAGGTCTGTGAAGAAATTTGGACATCAGTCAATTCATGATTATGCAAAGTATTACAAAAGAAATGCAAAATGCTTGGTTGCTTTTTTTCACACATTGGGGATTTTTATTCAAATCTAAACCAACCAAGAAATGACTGTTGTCAATAAATAATAATGCCAACAAATCAATAAATGATGTGAGTGCAATTGTCATTCTTTGTGAAAAGGATCCATAAACTTATTTCAAACAAGTAGCAATGAACTTCACACTAATTTGTTATAATTAAACAAGTGAATTTCATATTAAGTAAAATTAAATAAAATGAAACTTTTATAATCATTAGTCTATAGATTCACAGGATTCAAAATTGCGAGTTTAATGGTCCATGAGGTCAGAAAGGTTGGTAACCGCTGGTGTAGATAAAGCATTTGATATTTATTATTGGCACACAGGAAATATTTGGGCATGTGTAGGAACTGTAAAGTAAGATCAATGATGGAACTAATTTTTATAGCCAGGAAAATAATTAAACATATAGATATGCTAAAAGTAATTTTAATATGGTATTCATAGATTTAGAAAAAGCTTATAGTAAGGTTCCTAGAAGTTTTATATGGCAGGTACTGTACTTAGGAGGAAGGAAATAGAGGAATATGTAATAGTAGTACAGGAAAAGAGGTCAGACTTAAGAAAAGGTATACAGGAAGCTTTAGGACAGAAGTAAATGTCCACCATGATTCAGTATTGTAAAACTGAATATTTATATATATAATATTCTTGTTATTTTAATTAGTCAAAAAGCATTGCCTAGAAACATCAAATTCAAATATGATACACATTTTCAATTTTGAGAATTCTTTGAATGTTTAATTTAATCTTTTTTGTCTAATTTTACTTTTTTGTTGGGTGATGTAAATTAATATATTTATAACCTAATTAAAATCTTGTTTATGCTTCTGTAAGAATGTATGTTTCTTGAACTTTAAGTATTGAAAATGCTTGTAAAAAGTTGAGGATTGTATCAAGTCCTTATCTTTTTATCTTAGTGTTAGATGAACTGTTAGTGGATATAACTGAGGAAGAATCATGGTGCATTATATTTACATTATGGTAGTTCTACTTAGCAAAGATGGAAGAATTGATAGGAGATAGAAAAAGCAAAAGATAAAGTGAAAGATTAAGGATTAGCAGAGAGAAAACAGTTCATTCATTTTCACTTTAGTGCTAAGGAGAATGACAACAAATTAATTATTGAAGATAAAAAAAATAAAAAAACTAGAGAAATTTAAGTACAGACATCTTTAATTGATATCAATCAATAAGTTCTTGGACACTGCAACACTAAGTGAAAGTACATAAACAAAACCAATTATACCATAGACTAAATGATTTAAACCAAGATATAATTTGGTTATTATTCTAACTGGATCCTGTTTGCAACCTCCAACATTTATTTTCACCTCATACAATCGATTTTACTTTTTTAAAAAAATTCAATAATAATTGTAAATGATTACAAATGTACAGTACTTATATCTTTCCTCAATGACATTGAAGACTTACTATATTAAGGAGCAATGTTAGAGAGTGGAAGAGCATTAGACACAGATATAGCAAACAATAGATATAGGGTAGCAAAAGTTACAGAATGCAAATGGAGTGCTTTATAATAAAAAAGTACCAGTCAGATTAAAAGTTTTAGAAGATAGTTTTTAGATACTGCAATGTTGTATGGATTTAAATGTTGGGGTATGAAGAAATTTTAGGTAACAAAGATGTAAATAGCAGAATTGAGGATGCTCAGGTTTGTACATGGGAGTTACCTTAGCTGATAGAATTAAGAATTAGCATATTAGAGGATTTAGAGTTTAGGAGTAATAGACATTAAAGAAAAAGTTATGGAAAATTGAATTTAGGCAGCTTGGGCTTGTGATTAGAAGAGGAGATGAATTAGTTATACAAAATCAGGGATTTAGAATTAGAACAAAAACAAAGAGGTGGTAAGCCAAAGAATAGTTGAGAATTAGTAGTTAGGAAATAATTAAGGAGTTACAATTACATAAAGAGATAGCATAAATAGGATAGCTTGGAGAGCTAGCAAATCATGACTCAACCTCACTGTGAGAGGGAAATAAGATAAACAATGACAATGACATTTAAAAGAAACATTAATTTTTATTAAACTATCTTTTTATATTTATCAAAATAAAAGTTGAAAAGTTTTACATGTAACTGAATAAATATTTACCAAGACACATTTCTGTAATGAAATAAAATGTTTCAATAAATGGAATGAAGCTGTTACCTTATTGCTGAAATAATGTTATTTATGCTATTATATTTAATGCTATATTTATTGCAATCATGCAATGTTTATCTCTACATCTTTAAAATAGGTACACACTAATGATCCTATCAGGTATTAACAGTCTTAGTACATGATCTAGAGAGTAAGATATATTGGGTCTATACATAAGTTTTTAAGGTTTTTTTTACAAATTAAAAACACACAAAATATGCTTCAACAATACCATTTATTCAAAATAGTTTCCATTATTTTCAACAACTTTCTGCCAACATTCTGGCAGCAAATGAATACCACAGTGGTTAAAGGTTGCTGGCTTTGAGCTGAAGAAGTCAGTAACCCAATTTCCACATCTATGAGATTGGTGAAGTGCTCACTAGCAAACCATGCTGCATTGACTGGAACAGATGATAATCAGAAGGGGCCATGTCCGGTGAGTATGCCGAGTGTGGTAACACTTCCCATCCCAGATCCAGAAAGATTTGCTTTGTTGTGGCTACAACATGAGGCCATGCATTGAAGAATGAGTTGCCATTGTTTAATACATATATTGGCCACTTCTGCAAAACTTGTGCTAATTTTATAAGCTGTGCACTGTAGTAGTAACAGTCTGACTTGGCTGCAGCAACTTGTGATAGATTATACCATTTTGGTCTCACCAAACACAGAGAAGCACCTTTTTGGCATGGATGTTGGACTTTACTGTTGATGATGTTGCTTGTCCTGGGTCTACCCAGGGTTTTTTCCTTTTTGGGTTGTCGTACAGTTTACTTTTCATCATCAGTGACGATTTGCCACAGGAAACTCTTCCTTTTTTATCTTACCAACAATAAAAAGCAAATATTGACATGGTTTATTGTGACAGATTCTGATAACTGGTATGGAATCCATTTTCTGCACTTTGAATCTGACCCATCATACTGAGTCTGTGGCTTACAGTTGACTGGTTCACACCAAGTACTTCTGAAAGTTCTTGACACAAAAACTTGCAGAAGCAGTTGGGTGAGTTTTCAAGTAGGTCTTACAGGTTTCCATCAGCAGTTTCCTTGGGGCAACCTGATCTTGGTCAATCATCAACATTGAAATCCCCACTATGGAAGTGTCTGTACCACTTTTCACACATGCTTAATGACAACTTTCTCACCATATGTGTTGTATAAAATTCTTTTGGTTTCAGCTGCTGTTTTTCTTTTGTTAAAGAAAAGAAGCATACAGTGGTGAAGGTGGACTTTGTTGATATTCATCTCAAAATGAAGACAAAACAACTGAATAACTAAAACCCAAAAAATTTTCCGATGCACACCAAGCAGAACTGGATGAGTCTCACACAAGCAAAAGGCAGAGTGAATGAACAATTTTAAGGTTATAAATGCACTAACTTGATCGTACAAACTTATGCATAGATCCAACATATTGAAAAGGTATCTATTGTTTGATATTGAAAAGAACCTAATGAGGGGAGGAAAAAAAAATCACTAAAATTAGGGGTGTTTGAATATATTTTATGAATTTAATTTAAAACTGAACAAAAGATAGTAAAAGATTAAACAATTCTTTTATTTGAAGACAGTATCCAATCTTATACTTAAAATGAATGAAATTTGCCTAAGTCATTAATTTTTATACATAAAATATTAATAAAATATAATATAATATCAACACATTTGAACTGAAAGTTATTAAACATTAAATGTGGATATTAATTGGATTACAGTATTTTTGGAAAACATTGCATAATTTTGATTAAGAAAAAATAAAATTTTTTATGAATATTTATCATTTATTAAATTAAACTCAAAAATCAGGCATTCAAAAATAATAATTTTTAGTTAAATTAATAAATTTAATTTATAAAAATAAATTCACACAAATTTATACCAGAGGAGGAACTAAATCTTCAATTTTATTGATTTTACTATTTAATAATCTATCAATACTAGCAGTAGATTCATATTTAGTAGTATCTGAAGAGCTTTCTTCTATACTATTTGTTAAAGTCTCTGTTGTAGTTTCAATCCATGAATGATAATACCTGTATTAAAAATAATTATTTTTCTACAGACTTATACTTTATATAATTATAATTAATATAAAAATTGTATTAATATTTAACCTGACAACATTTTCATGATTGAGACTTGATAATAATTTTACTTCTCTCATTATTTTTTTATTCAGCTGTTTATTTGATGGATTCAAAAGGATTTTCTTTATTGCATAAATTCGGCCATCTAATTTATTTTGCACCTGTAAATTCAAAATAAATTTTAAATGTCTTATAAGATAATGAAAAAATTGTTCTTAATTTATTAAGTAAATTTTTAAATACAGTAAGAACTCACTAATTCAGCATTTGCAATAATGCAGACTACTATTTTGCATTGTATATTTTTTTAAAATAATGAATTAGCCAATTCTAATCTGGGTTTTAACAATTATTTTACTCTTAGACAAATGTCAAGATTTGATCAAAGAACAGTTAGAAAAAGAATCTCAAACAAAAATTAGCTTCCTTTTCAGATCCAAATTAGTAAATGCTGGCAATGACAAAAATGATGCTACCACTACTTTTGCATTGTAAAAGTTTAAATAAAAAATAGCATTACTCAATAGGATGAAAAACACTAGATCTAGAATGATACAAAATTCCAAGAATAAGTCCTGTTAAGTGGGAACAATTCTAATATATTCCAGAAAAAAAAAACACATTTTTCAAAAATACTTCAAAAAAGTATCGAGTAAAATAAATTATTTACTTTGTAATAAATCTCAAAATCATGAATATATTTGTCTTTATTCTCTTACAGTCTTGGTCTATTATCAAATAACTGGAAAATGCTGAAGATTAAATTCAAAAACTTGGAATTAAAGGCCTTTAATGCAATTTTATACATCATATTGGTGAAACTTTTTTCAAGCAACATTCTGTCAAGAACACAAAAAAATCATAATCAAACGGTAAGATCTGGAAAATATAAATTGTTTGACTTCCTAGTTGAACTTAGTTTTTCCTGAATTTTCACTACAATAAAAAAAATTAATCCTATTTACAATTAAGGTAAATACACTTTAAGCATCCATCACTGCTAAAATAAAATTCATTACCTTGCCAAATTGTCTAATCAAACAGAATATGTTAGTCATGATGATCATGTTGTGACAAATGTCTTTTGAAATATCACAGAACACACAGCATTACCTAACATAGGTGTAATCTAGTTTTAGTGATACTGAAGATGGCTTTCCATATGGTCATCATTGATACTTTTGATACAATAATCAGAGGATTCATTATCAAGTAGTTTAAAAAGTTTGTTTTTCATGCACCTAAACAATGAAGTAAATATTGTCAATAATCCAATAAATTTTGACTAGATGCAAAAGTGATATCCATATATCACTTTGTCACAAAATGTATCCAATTTTGGTACATTTAATGTTACTTGAAAAAAAAACTGCTAAATGTATGTCTCATTTCAAATGAAATCTAAATTAGTTCATTGTAAACCTTTAGTAGACATATTGCTTGCAGTTTATCACTTATACCAGAATTGTCATAATAAAGTTGACATTTATGACAGATTTTGAAAGACAGACAATTTCTTCTCTACATAGTTCAATTTCTTTACAAGTGTTTATACTACCAGTAATCATTTTTTTTTTCAGAACTCATAACATTACATGTCTGAAATGCAATATTCTATTGTAGGCAGCTTTTAATAATACAGGTATCCCTCATATAGCACAGCATTTCTACAACAGTGTTTTGCTCTGACATGGTTTGAGAATTTAGGAAATCATCTATACAAAATTTCACAATTTTTAAGTGCAAACTCTGTTATTCAATATTTTCTATTCAAGTAAGCATACATCTTGTTTCAAATTTGTCCATGGATTTTAGAATATTAAAATTTTCAATTTTTTTTTTTTGTGCATTTCATCAGATTTACTTTAATGAAAACTGATAAAGCTAGGACAAGGAAGAAAGAATTGCATTAAGTGTTTAGCCTTTAACATTATAAAAATAAATATATGGTGACACATTTATCTTCATATTTACTGAAGTTTATTTAAACATTTTTAGATAAGTGTTAACTACTGTTAAAAAAGTTTAATAATTAATCATTTGTAAAAATGACAAAGGAAATACAGAAGTATCTTGATACTCAAACTGTTCCCAACTCAAACAATTTGGTATTTGAACAAAAGTCTGGAAAGAAATTGTTTGGTACTCAAATGAACAAATACAACCTGCTAGAAAAACTTTTTGATTTTTTAAAATTTTTATCATAAAAAATGTTATTAAAATGAAGACATTGCTGATATTTCTGATCAAGATTGACAAAACAGCTTAGATGATGATACTTTGTAAAAAAAATGCTCTCATTTAACTAAAAATAATATTACAGTGTAATAAAAGTACTTTTAACTGTGATTGTTAGTTATTGATTGTTAATAAACTATTTATTGCTTTAACAAACATATTTCTCTCAGGAACAAAAAAGAATAGTATGCTTATGTTAACTCTCGCAACCTAACCCCTTGTTTTGCACTAGTCCTTTGTTTCATATAGCACAAATTCACATAACATTGCACTTTTTTGGAATGTAAATACCATATTATACAAGGGATACTGTACATACATTTTGATTTATTCACTCAAAAATTGCTTTACTGTACAAATAATACTTATGACTGTTATATCAACATAATTACATCAAATATACAAATCAATATAATTTTCTTGCATAACTCAATTCTTAATTTTATGACAGCATAATTAAAAAATGATTATATGTATTTCTATGCAAATGTACTGTACATTCTGGGCTGGAAACTAATAAAATTTTGAAAAACAGATCACATTTAATGAAAACTAATATGCAGATTTATAAATTGTATTACATAAACTAATCTAATATTAAAAAAGGAAACTGTATCCAATATGCTAATAATGCAATAACAACAATGATATGATACATTAAGTTTTATGTCAATATTTTACATTTCCCAATTAGTGAATATAGTATGTATTTAATTATATAAAAAAAGATCACTATATCACAAATAAATCTTTAGGTAAAATGTAATTCTATAAATAATTTAATAACTTTAAAATATACATAATTTACTATAAGAATAAAAATTTATATGTATAGGTAAACAATATTAATAATTTTATATCTGAAGTATCTAAATAAATTTTAATAGATTTACTTTTAATACATCTCCAAATCCACCACTTCCCAACCATTGTAATATATCAAATTCTTTTAGTAATCTAGAATTTTCTGGGATGTGTCTTGCAAGCTGATGAATTGTCTGATCTGAACTGCCATCTGAAAGTTTTTGTAAGACTTTAAAAACATGAATATTTATTCCAATACAACTGCTTAAATTTTATAAAATGCAGTTGAATTATAATATAATTAATGTAGTATTATTTTAAATTTATATTATTATTAAATTGTAATATTATAATAAATATTATTTTAAATTTTATATTCTGTTTTTACCTTGAAAAAAGTTTTTATCTTTTTCAATCTTTTTAAAATTCTCCTGCCTGAAAATATATAATAAAAATTATAAGCAAATTTTACAATTATAAAGAATTTAAATCATGTATGTTTAATTTTAAATATTATCAGGAAAAAATTTTTGAGAAATACCTTTCTTGATTAAAATTTATTTTCCCATTAATTTTATTTTCAATTGGCTTTGACTGATGACTTTCCTCTTCTGAATCAGAATTTTCATGAGAATTACTCTACAAAATATAAAAATTAAGTTATTTTTATACTAGACATAATTTAGAATTGTCTGATCATGGGTCCAGTGTAGACTTATAAAAGAAATCTTGAATGCAAAGATAGAGGAAAAGGAAAAAAACTCAATATGTATATGATGAATTAATAAAACTAAAGATACATTGAACAAGAAAGAGACTTAAGAGACTGCAACTAATGTGACAGAAAATAAAAAGAAAGACAGATTTATAAATGAGGAAATAAAAATTGATGGTGTGAACCGTTACCCAATGCCTTTGTTGTTTAAATACCCCTACAGTAGGTTCGAAAGTAGGGTTACTCGCTGATCTCATGTTCTGTCAGGATAACACAAGAGGATGGAGACGTAAGGAGGTAGTGGCAGCAGACACAGACATACACAAATGTACAGAAATAAATCACGTTTATTTTAAAGAAAAAAGTCTTACAATTATTCGTACAACACTCAAAATAGGCAGATGACCAGGTGGAAGTTGCTGATTCCGGTGTTTTGTTGGTGGATCGTTTAGTGGATAAAGACTGGGAAGCAGAGATGGTGAATCCCCAAATGCTGGATGAGTGCAAAGGGTGTGGTCAATCTCTGAATGATGGCAAATTGAGGATGGGAAGTTTGATCTGGAAAGCATTGGATTACCTAGAGGAGATGGAGGATCTTTCAGGGTTGGATTGGTGGAATGGCAGTAGTCAACACACAGACTCAATAATAAATCAATGGCTCAAACATCGACTTCAGCAATGTTGATGACTCACTTTGCCGTTACCCTACAGTGACTTCTTTGACACTAGCAACAACTCGCACTTTGTGATACTTGGTGACAACTCTTTTCTGTCCTTGGGGTCAGTCCCCTTTATATGATTCAAATTCTAAATCCTTGATTTGGACTGGTCAAGATCTGACTCTTCTTTACTCTCTCATTGGATCCCACTTGTTGCTAGGGTCCAAGTATGGGTTGGAAGGATGGACATCTTCCTCACTCCCACATCAGGGTTATGACTTCCTCCAGCATTCACTTATGAACTCCTGTGATGATACCTGAGAGAGTTTGCTAATTATGGACTGAGGACCTGTAATCAGGGAAGGTAGTTTTATCTCCTGAAAGTCAGGGCATCCAGACTGATTACCTAATTGTCGTGTATGAGGCTTCTCTCATCTTTCTTTTGTATAGTCAAGCTGGAAATTGGCGATTTTATGAATCTCGATGTTTTTGTCGATCACTTTTCTAGCTTAATTTCTCACCATGACATCTCTTTCCCACTTGAGTTTGACAAAATACATTAACTTTACAACATTTAACTTTACTTACTTTGTGTTCATGACAATGTATCAGAATGATGGCAAGGACCATGCAGAATGTGTATGGTTAAAGAAAAGAACACAGGAGGAAATGATTTTATTGTGGAAATAATATTCCAATTGTTATTTCTTTCTGAAATATTGTGTAAGAATATCAAAAAAGTGTTTGTGCTTCCTTCGGTCTGTTTGAAAGAAAGCCCACTGAGGAGGAAAATATTGTAATTTCCAAAATGCATCTGGGTAAAATAAAGTTGTTGATAGGCTAGTATTTTTGGAATCTGTGAATGTGATAATTCCTAGAGAATAATGGTGTTTGAACTGGTTACATATTGACTGATTTGCAAAGAGCATTCTCTCCCTCTTTCATTGCTATGTTAACTATGCATTCAGAAGGTATTAAGCATGTAATGACATATCAAAATTAAGACAACTGAAATTTTATATTTAAAAATATTTTTAAAAGAAATGTTTTAATTTGTTTATGAGATAATAAAATATTAATATTAAAACTTGATATAAAAATAATATTCATGAAAAGTATTTATATATATGTTACAGTCAAAACCCGTTTTTAGTTAGAACGCGTTTTAACTAGTTGAAACTAGTTTGTGCTGAATGTCTTTGTTAAAACCCGTTTTGTCTAGTTGAAACTAGTTTATACTGAATGTCTTTGTTAAAACCCGTTTTGTCTAGTTAAAACTAGTTTTAACTCAAATTCATTTTTGACTAGCAGTAAATTCTAGTTTTAACTAGACAAAA